ATCAAAGTCTCATTAGTACATGAATTAGAGATGCCACTAAAATGAACCCGCTTTCTGGACATGCCATTTTGCTATTTAAGTTGCATAGTTAGAAACTGCCAGTGGCTCTCCCAGCTACCTGCTTGGCTACCTGCCACCAGAAATGCTCCCCAAGTCACGCAGTGTATGACCAAAATTCCTCTACTGGCTTCACACACTGTTATTGAAGGATCTGTGTCTCAGCACAGGCCTGGCACTGGGGAAATCCCAAAGCCAAGCTTGTGGAGTGGAGGGTTTTGGTAGAACAGCGCTGCTCAACTGAGAGACTTGAGTCATCTTTCCCAGAAGGGTTCAAAAAGAGGTCAGATATCTTAAGTGCGGAGAAAACTGGTTCAGTTTACAATGGAATGACTTTAATCCTCTGCCATTCAGGCCATCTTATTTCAACAAACAACCAACCAGTCAGCTTTTCAGCATTTGCTTTTTTTCCCCCCATCCTTTGTTTATGCTCCTTTCTAGCTCTTGTCATTTGTGTCACTGTTAAAAGGCTTTGACTGAGCTTCTGGCCCGTTTTATTACTGTACCTGCCTGCAAAAGGAGGATCTTTGCCCTGAAAGCTTAGAATTGATAAGAGCAGGCTCTACAGCACTAAGAGAAAGGGAGAAATCTCTCGTTTCGGATGAGGAAGAGCTGAACTACAGCGAAACCAAGTGATTCATCCAAGCTTACCTGGAAATCAAAGCTACCCAGCCCTTACCTAGTGCTCTGAATGCAAGATAATCTCGCTGTACTTGTCTCTTTCCTTTCGTCGGAAATCTGATGGCAGTAATGTAAGCTTTGCTCAGGAAGCCTTCAGGCAGCCAAACACCACCTTTATCAATATTAATTAAAGATGCTTTAAGTACCCCAACTCTGCATGGTTTCCTCCGTTGACAGTCCTGCCGTTCCTAATCAGCTGACTGCCCAGTTGTGTACTTAAAAAACATTATTTTCTCCCAGAAGAGTTTAAGAAGGAGTGTTTTGACTCCGTTCGGGAGACGTGAAATACTCCTCTAATTGATGGTGCTTTTAACTGCAGTAGTGCTGAACCTCTTAAAAAAAAAAAACAAACAAAAAACCAAAACAAAAAACAGGTCCCTGCCTAGTGAATTATTTAAAAGCAGTTGTTCGATTAAAATAGTGATCATTTGGGAGGAATGCGGCTCCCCGGCATCACCTCCAGGTTTTCGAATCATTATACCGTGTAATCAATAACACCGGTTAAAGGTATGCGGTTAGGCTTAACCACGGGGTGGTGTTACGCTGGATGTAGGCAGAGAACGCTGGGGAACTTTAACCACTTAATGGCAAGACTGTCTCATATCAACCGCACGCCATAAAGGCACACGCAGCCCCCTCCACCCTTGAGCGCGGCGGCGGAGGCCGTGGGCCTTGCACGGCGCCGGGCAGGGTCAGGCCGCGGGTCCCCGCCGCCGCCTGCCCTGGTGCTTGTCTGACAATATGAG